TGGCCTTAGTAACTTGTTTTGTAAAATATTTCTAAAACCGTATTTTCAATGTGGACTCATACACAATCCGCGATTTAAAAACCAAAAAGCTCTGATACCAATGTATGTAACCCCCTAGACCCGGCCTATGCGTTTCGACTAAGTCTAGTGAATCACATTATGATTCTTAAAGACATTTTCTGAAACCGTTATTCAATCAATGTAAAATCACATTATAAATGCCATGAAATAAATTATTCCATCAAAACCCAACTTCTAAATATAATACCAATAAGTAATAAATTAATTTAAAACAGGTCTTCAAAATCAAAATCACAATAAACCGAATAGTAATAGCAAAAGTGTCATCATCCTAAAATATGATACTTTAAAATAAGGTCCATGTCACCAAAATAAAGTCAACTAGCAAGATAAAACTTTACAATCAGATATACTTCAAGAGATATGTTGATCCTCCAAGTGCTCGAGTCGATGTATCTAACCAACAGTATCTGAAAGGGAGAAAACATTTTCGAAAGGTGAGCTAGGCTCAGTGTGTCCCAATATTACCTTAAAATCACAATAGGTACATTAAACAAATCATAGTCCAGTAAATCTCATAAATTCATAAAAGAGTTTAACTTTTGAAAATCATAGCTTAAACTATTTTCTTGTACACCATCAGTAATTTCCAAAACTATTTTCCATATAGCTTACTCTAAGCACACAGCAAAAAGAAAGCCAACCTAAGGATAAGCTTTAGAGCTTGTATCCTTAAGCCCGTAAGTCCAAGTCCATATAACTTACCCTAAGCACACAGCAAGGGAAGCCAACCTAATATATCTTGGGGCCCCAAGAGTCACATTAGGCCCATTCTGTTTATTAGCTTGATCAGAGCTATGCTATTATAATTCAATCCAAAAGTTCAATTGCACCGTGACACAAATTCCATAAATCATCACATTAAATTGGTGCATCAATAAAACAGTAACCAAAGAACTTAGTGTACCTCATATTAAAACCAATAAAGCAGTTCAGTAATAATTAGGGAACACACCTCGATAATAAGTTCAAATAGTAGATCTACTGATTGCTGGTTTCACCACGCTCTGCTACAGTTTTCGAACCTATTTTCTAATAACACTATATTACTTATGGGTAACATAAATAAATCTATAAAAGCATAAAATTTATGGGTCTTACGGGTGAATACTGGCACACGTGGTTTACTTGATCTAGAAGAGATGGGTCGAGCTGTCGAACGATCCGGAGAGTCTCTTGTACCTTCAAACAATAATAATTTATCAGCCCCAAATCTTACTTAATTGTTCAAAGCTAAATTCTTATGTATATAAGCATTTTCAAGGTTTAACTATCAATTTAGAGGATTTCAGGTTTGAATTTAGCCAAACAGATTGCGGAATCGGAATCAGGACGTCGAAAAACATAAAGTATGTCTTTTCAAAAATTTAAATTCTTGGTCAAAGTCAAATTCAACCACTTTGACCATCGATTTGGAGGCCTTCGGGTTCGAATTTGGTGAAACGGACTTCTTAAACGGATTCGGGACATCGAAAACTATCAGAATAGGTATACTCAGAAAATATTTACGGTCGTTTAAGGGTCGGACAAATCCATTTAAGGTTCAGGTCAAAGAAAGTCAACGGTCAACAGTCAACAGTCAATGGTCGGGTCGGGTCGGTCGGGTAGGGTCAGGCCGGTTTAGACCGGTCAAAACCGGTTAAACCGGTTTCCAGCTGCTCACTCTCCCTGCGGCGGCGCGTGTGGCGCGTGAGACGTCCTCCGGGGCTCTAAAAATCACGGAAAAATTTCTACAAATTATTTTGAGCGATTTCGAGATACTTACAACGATCGGTTCCAATTTTTGAACGGCGGAGAGCTCGATTTTAAATTGGCCGAAACTTTGACTGCTCTACCTCCTCACACACCGCCGTTGACGGAGACCAAGGTTGACACCGGCGGACTCGAAACGGCACAAGGAACATGATGGTGCAGGAGGTGTCATAAATGGAGCAACGATCGGCGATTAATTTGAGATTTTCCCGGCGATCGAGCTAAATAAAACGTCGAGACTTTGACTGGAAATTCCCGACGTTTGGCAGCGTTTCGCTTCAATTAATTTGAAGGGTTTGTTCCTTGCTCGATGATTAACACAACGGTGGTTTCAAAACGATGATCGGAATTCAGACGGTGTCAGAATCGAGGTTGGAAACTGGTGTAGGGGAAAGGGAATTTCTGAATTGGTTTTCTTTGTTTTCACGCAGAAACCAATTCATTTCCTTTAAAAGAAAAACCTGCCGACACTCAAAGGTATAACTCAGGGCTTGGTCATTAAATTTTCTTCAACTTCTAAAATGGACTTCAAATTTTCAAAACTTTCAATTTAGTCCTCATAATTTATCAATTTTCACAATTAACCTCCAATTTCAATTTAATATTATTCTAAATTTTTCCGGGTTGTTACATAATCACTTGATGACTTCCTTCCAAACAACTTCATTTATAATAGGTTCAACCTTCTTTGCTTTTTATTATAATTGTTGTTTGTATCTTCCAATAATATTTTATACGAACAAAAGGCTGGATTGATACCCTTGATGATAGTAATGCTCCAACCAACTTCTCTCTTGTGATGCTTTATAACATTGAGGAACTTTTTTACTTGTAATGTGTCTAGTTTTTCTACAACAATAAAAGGCAAAGTCTTGTTTTCCCCAATAAATGCATTCTTCAAATAGTCGAAAAGGGTTTTTAAATCAAGGGTGGATGGTTCTTCAATAAAGGAATACATCCCTTCAACCTCATCAATTTTGTCATGTTCCTTGTATTCCTCTATTTTCATAACACTATTAACAACTTCATCAATGTTGTGTCACTTATTTATATGTTTTTACATTATAATATCCATAATGTCAATATCATTATCATTATCTTATGAAACATTGTTCAAAACATTAAAAGTAATGTATTCATCATTAAGGCGCATAGTGAGTTATCCCTTTTCAAAATTGTTAAATGATCGGCCTGTAGTAAGTAATGGTTGACCAAGTGTGATTAGGGCATCCTTATCGGCTTCACAGTTCAATAAAATGAGTTTGGTGGGAAAAATGAACTTGTCCACTCAGACTAGCATGTTGTCAACCATGCCATTAGGATTTACTATGGAAGGATTGGTAAGCTGATGTGTCACGATGATATGTTTTTCTTCCCCATTTTCAAATTTCATAAAAATAGATAAATGTATTAGATTAATACTAGCGCCTAAATTACATAATATTCTACCTACAAATTGACACCAATAATGTAATGAATAGTTAAACTCTCTAGATCCTTTAACTTTTTATGGAAATCTACTTGTAGCCATATCGCTACATCCTTCAGTGAGGGAAACAATTTCAGATTCTACAAGTTTTCTGTTTTTCGAAAGCACTTCCTTCATGAACTTGGTATAATTCAAATTTTTCTCCAATGCATACAATGGAATATTGATTATCAATTTCTTCAACACATCAATAAAGTTTCTAAACTAATGATGGTCCTCATTTGTCTTCTAGAATTGTTAAGGAACCGAAGGAGGAGATATTGGATTCTATTGCACAGGCAATGGTGGTGGCATCATATGTTGGAGTGTTGTTGGAATTGATGGGGTAATTTCCCAAAATTACTACTCTATCCTATATCATTTGTTGTAGCATCCATATCGGGTATCTCAATCTCTACTTCCAACTCTTTGCCTTTAGATGGATATCTAAGTGTAATATCCTCTTTCTCTTATTTTCATCATTTGGTTTTTCAAGGTGGAGTACACTACGTGTCGTGATGACTTTGCAATGCTTATTGCAATGATCTTTCCCATGAGCTTTAGGAACTTTATTGTCACTCGGCAACGCTCCTTGCGGTCTGTTGCTCAATACATTGGCCAACTGTCCAACTTGATTCTCAAATGCTCTCAACAATGTTAACTAGCTTTGTATCAAGGCTTCATTACTTTGATTTGTTTCTTCATTCCTTGAAATTTAACCCTTTAATAGAGACTCAAGTGATGTTAATGTTGAGGCTTGATTAGAAGTTCGCCCTTGATAGTTTGGTTGGTTGTTGCGCTGGTGTGTCTTTATCACCTGATGATGTGACTGTTGATGTTGTACCATTGGTTGTTACTGGGTATACTATTGTTATGGTTGATAATGCTACTATTTATTCCCAAAATTTGATTGTAATATCATATTGCAGTTGGATACATTTTGACTTCTCCAAGACAAGTTGGGATAATTTTGGAAACCTAGGTGTTGGTATTTTCAATCCTATTGTAATTCCTCACAAAGTACATAGCCTATGGGTTTTATGGACATTCCTCAAAATTATGATCATTACCACAATAAACACAAGAAACAATAGATGTAGATTTTACCTTATACACACCTCCAGACTTTTGCATTCTCTTCATCATTTCAGTCAATATTGTAACCTGTGTGGTCAGTGTGTTTAAAGCATCATTGTCTACTATTACAGCAATGTGTATACCTGACATAATTCTTGTATACATTTTGACTTCTCCAAGACAAGTTGGGATAATTTTGGAAACCTAGGTGTTGGTATTTTCAATCCTATTGTAATTCCTCACAAAGTACATAGCCTATGGGTTTTATGGACATTCCTCAAAATTATGATCATTACCACAATAAACACAAGAAACAATAGATGTAGATTTTACCTTATACACACCTCCAGACTTTTGCATTCTCTTCATCATTTCAGTCAATATTGTAACCTGTGTGGTCAGTGTGTTTAAAGCATCATTGTCTACTATTACAGCAATGTGTATACCTGACATAATTCTTGTATTAGGGTATTGGTAACCATTTTTGGAAATCCTCTCTAGAATGGCATATATTTCAATTTAAATCATATCCAACAATGCATCATTGGCATAATTGTCTACATCCATCCTTCTTTTTATATTATGGTCATTGTAGAACATCTCTAATTGTGTCCAATGCTAGAAACCATGCATCGGACATTTGCACAACATATCTTTAAATTGCTCCCAAGCTTCATAAAGATTCTTTTCCTCCATTTGCTTGAATGGTGTGAGATCATTCCTCAATTTAGCATTCATGTTAGGAGGGTTAAAAAGAAGCAAAAACTTTTGTGCAAGTTAATTCAATGATGTTATAGCACCAAGTGGCAATAAGTTAAGTCACACTTTGGCTTTGCTGCAAATAAAGTAATGAAATAGTTTCAGTTTCAAAGCTTCCTCTAGAACTTCTTGGATTGGTTACTTGATTTTGCATACCAGATTGGTTTGGTGTTGGAACTTGTTGACAGGGAGATGTCTGATTGGCATAACTATCCTGACTCATTGGTACAATATAGGTAGGCATATATTTCAAATTTTTCTAAAATTTAAAAAAAAAAGTGATTGCAACGAATGGAAATAGAGAGGATGACGCGACTTCTAACGATTGTTTGGAGAACGAAGGTCGACGTGGGTGAAAGAAGATGGTCCGAGTTTGATCGCGGGATGATGGAGAACTCGGGGGTGACGTTGGTGTACACCACAGACAGTTGATGATGGCTGGTCAACGAATGGCGGTGAGAGAAGTCATAATGTGGGGTGAGGGATTTGATATTTTTTAACATTTTAGTTTTAAAAAAATATTTTTATTATTAAAAATTTTTAAAAATAAGAAAATATAACAATGGATACCTAAAAGTGTAACGGAAAAAACATTAAGTACATATTTTTAGCAATAGAATCAGACACTAAAATCAATTTATAATATAATTTAAGCACTTAAAATTGTATTGAGCCAATAGGTAATCATTTCCTTAGCCATCTCTATTGATTTACAAAATGTTCTAATGCGGAGTAAGCAAACAAAATGAAAAAAAAATCGTCTGGCTCATGCAAATTTCAAAATTGTACTTAGGTATGAACAAAACTCGACTCGACTCAACTCAAATAAATCAAATTTTTTAACTCGATTCGACGTTGTAAAATTATACTCAATTTGATTCAACTTGTAATTTTATTAACTGGACTAAAATTTTTTAAATTCTAGTCAAGTTATAAAATAGAACTCAAAAGCTTAAAACTTTTAGTAATTAGTAAATTACTTTTTTTAAGTTCAAGTGAGTCTCACAATTTTACATTATATATATATCACATATGAAGAAATATATATGTATATTGTATATGATAATAGAAAATCGTTTAAATTAGAATCAAATAGTATCATAACTTTTATAAATATTTATAATTAAATTTAAACATAAACTTAAATAACTTGAATCGATTCGATTCAAATTTCATAAACTCAATTTTTTTTAAAAAAGGTTAAATTATAAAAAAAAATAACAAATTTAAATAACTCAAAAATTTCTTATTTGACTCACCCCTAACTGCACCCAATTTCTTTAGGTGAGGGCCTATGTTAGTAGCTATATAGAATATAGATATTTAAAAATGTTTTTCTTCTATGATTTAATGATTTTCCTGTGAGGAAGGAAGGGATCTAACGCAATTGGTTGGGGAATGTGGAATAGTGGATTGCTTGATGTTTGGGTTAAATTAAAAGCTCACTTTTGGTGGATGGAAATAGTCGTGACCGCTTCACATAATTTCAGCTCTTAATTCATTTCCCTGTTAGTTAGATAGGTTAGCTTTGAAATTTCATTTTTTTTATAGACCAAAAAAAAGTTAAATGCTTCTTTTGGTTATTTTCACACGTCATCGCATGTCAACCATGAAAGAAATTATAAATGTAAAGATCGATGTAAAAATAAATGTTTAAACTTTATCTAGAAATACGATTTGATGTCTAAATAATTTTTTCGTAAAAATTGAGTGTCTAACGTTTTTCAATTACACTTTTCGGTGTCTACCATAATTTTTTTAATTTATTTATAATAAACCCCAATTTTTTATAAAAAGTATTATCTTTTTATAAAAAAGAAAAAATTAATTTATTTATAATAAACCCCAATTTTTTTTACTAAAATTATAAAAAAACACAAAAAAATTAAAATCTCTCATTTTAACCCCCATTACCAATCGTCGGTGGTCATCTCCGGTCACCCATGGTCATTCGTCCTGTTGTCGCCAACCCATTGATCATTCGTCACCCTTACCCTCACTCAAATCCCTTAAATCTCTAAAATCTCCAATATCCAAATCCCTAATCCTTCAAAATCTGAATCCCCACGACGGAACGACAGAGGAGCAATGACAGAGCAACAACGAGGAACACGACCACTTGGTTTTTGATCAGAATTGCACAATGGTTCGAATGGTGGTGACATTATGGCTTATGGACGTCGGGATCGACTAGAATCGATGAATAACAATGATAGTGGCTTAAAATCCGACGAAACTTTGAACGCTTCTCCACGACAAACATTGACAAATTAAGATGAAAGGCTAATTGGGGTCTGATGGGGGTCGACATCGGTACTGATTACTGTGGTAGTGACGGTCATAGCTAGTCAATGACTATGGAATGGAGAAGGGAGATGGAGGAGGGGAAGGGAGCATTGGTTGTTTGGATTTTTTTTCTTCATAATTTTTTTTAAAATTTTTTAAATAAATTCTCAAAATTATCAGAACGTGATATGTTTCACTTAACAGAGATTTTAACGGTGGTTAATGCCCGAGCACCTAAAAGTGTAACATTGGAACATTAGACACCAATTTTTGCGAAAAATTCTTTAGGCACAAAAATATTTTTCGAGACATAGTTTGAAGACTTATTTTTGTATTAAGCCTAAATGTAACTTTTATTTTAATTGAAATGATATTTTTAAAATAAAAAATTAGAATTTTATTAAGAAATAACAAAAGCAACATAACCCAACATCGAATTTCAAAGAATTGAAAAAAATTAAAATATTTCCTTGAATATATTTTCAATCGTCTAAAAATATTTAGAGACCAACAATAATTTAACCATCTCTATTCAAAATTAGATGCAATATTAATGTATGCGTGGAGAAAAAGAGAATAAATTTAACAAATATTAGAAAAATAGCTTACTTCAAAATGAAAGATTAACATTGACTAGAAAAATAAATAAGATAAATAAATAAATATCAAGTAATTTTACCGTACAGCGTAGTCACTGGCTTAAAAAGCAATTTTGCCCACACTGGTGAAATAAGGAAGTTGCCCCTAAGGTTAATACAGTCTTTCGAATTTCGTACACCTGAAATAAGGAAGTGAGACTCTGAATAGTGTTGCTCTTTTTCGAAGAAAGAAAAATATTTTATTCGGAGTGAATTCTACCTAAATAAAAATATCAAAGGTCACCGAAAAAAAACTAAACTATGCTTGTGAAGAGAGAAAATATAAAAAAAAGAGGAGAATCAAGAAATGGGTGAGTTCAAAATGGATAGGCTATTTGATGAGCGTTTTAAATTGCCGCTTTTTAATTGCTAATTCTCCTATTTTATGAACTTGTGACTGCTGATTTAGATTGTATTTCGTTTATTTTATGTGCAGTGACTTGTTTACTAGAATTGACAATAAAAAGGGTGAAATATGCATTTTTTATTTCCTAGTCGTAGCTGGAGATATGGGCACGACGCTGGGCACGAAGCAGGTCTATGTGGTAGTTTCTAGAAGGAGAAAGATTCTGGAAGCTACCTAGTTAACACAATCTGAAGATATATTTTGGGAATTCAACTTTTAGTTTGAATTTTGAAACATTTGAAATTTAGGATTATCATTGTTTTGAATTCTTCTTTATTTTAGGGTTTAGAAGCCTATAAATACCCTCCTTCGAGTAAGGCTTAAGACATTTTTTTCGTGTTGGATTTTATCTTGTTATTTTAGTTCCTTTTTTATTTCATTTATGTTTTTACGTTAAGTTTTCTATCAATTTTCATAAAATATGCTAAGTATGGTTTACACCATGCTTAACTAATTTCTTTATTATCCGAGAGCTTGCGATGACTCAATTCTATATGTGGGAATTGAAAAGCACTCAAATACGATTTTCTAGAATAAAAGATCGACAATTGGCCATGTGATAGGGAAGCGGTGGTGGGTTAATGAACGTTGCTCTTGTTGAAGAATCAATCCTAGAAAGCTCTAGACTAGATGAAGAACAATGGGAAATAAATAGGGGAAGGTGGCGGCAACAAGTAGGGTTCTTAGGGTTTCTTTTAGGTGTTGGAAACAAGATAAGAAGCAATATTAAAACAAGATAAACAAAAGATAAAGAAATTGAAAATAAAGTAAGATAACCAAGAAATCAAAAGATCTCCCTTATAAGGTGAACGGTAAAGATAATTGATGGCGTGGATGGATATATGGAAAATCAATGGATAAAGTCCTATTGAGCCCTCCTAGTCGAAATGAAAAAGACAAACATGATAATATGACTCTAACAAACCCTCTTAGTCGTGATGAAAAGGCAAATTGGAGTGTGAAGATTAATCTCCCTCACAAGAACTTGAAAGAACTCTCGGAGAAGAAGCTTCGAAGGCACAAGGCAATCAACACTTGCAAAAATGAACTCTCGTTGTATTATTAATCAAAGAAATCTGATTTACAAAGTTGAGTGAAGCCTCCTTTATATAGGGGTGAGTTTTAAAGGTCCTAAATAACTAATGAATACAATAATAACAAACTAAACCCGTCTAAACTCTAATTCCTAATAAAATAATAATAACTAAAAATAATGTTTTAACTCAACCTTAATTCCTAATAAAATAATAACTCTAATCCTAAAAGATAATGCATCATCCTATATTAAATTATATTACAAATAATCAATATAAATATTGAAAATTCGTAATATTTACAATAATCACGTATTTATCTCGTATAGGAATTTCTGTATGCGCTGTCTTCAGTAAAATGAATGCATCTTGAGTTTCTGATATCGGATTGATGTGATTCAAGAACCGTTGGAAAGATAAGAGACAGAAGGTTGTATCTCCAGAAGACATGTTGACCGGATAACAGCTGGATCCCCTTCAAAAAGTTGTCACAAATCTGATGCTATTAGACCCTTACGGATGAATGCTTGAGCTGCTATTTGAAGCTTGTCTTTAAGAAGTTTGGTCCGACCTCGTGTGATAGGGCCAAGTGGTATAGTAAATTCA